TATCATGCAAGACAGGAAGGTAAAGTGTCTTTTAACCCTCTAAGACATGACATCTTAGAGGGCCTGAACCCCATTTCTGTTGGTGGGATGTAAAAGCAAGCCTGCGCTTCACTACCAGGCTTGGCTCACATGTGTGACCCCACCCCCGGATGTCAATGTCCAGGGGCACTTAGAAAGTCTCTCTCAGCCCGGATCCCTGAATGACTCTATGGAGCAGAGCCTACTTCCCTTCCCCCAATTCTCCTCCATTAGACTGAACTTAATGACTGGGAAACAAAATTCTATCAAGTTAGAGATTTCCAGGTTTAGCTGTTACAACTGCAAGTGTTTCTTTAACCATTTATCAATCTAGCTACCTGTCTATGTCCCTTCTCAAAAACACCAGAAAGAAATCCATCAAAATATTAATCATTCCACCCCCAATAAACATCAGTGACTTTTATCAGCAGAAATAAGTTTAGATATTTTTAACACAGATTTTAAAAAACCAACAGCCTGACCTCCCTCTGTCCTTTCCATCTCCAGTCAACGTCATGGGCCTGTCGTTTCATGCTCTTGAGGTCTCAGTCGAGTTTCCTTCTCCCACCCAACCCCCAGCCTCTGCCCCACCCTGAGCAGCTGCAGACCCCGAGCTCCCTGCGGGGTCTCTGCCAAGGAGGTGGACGGCAATGGGCCTGAGGGACTTTGGGCCTCCAAGACCACCCCTTTGGCCCTCCTGGCTGTTGGGTGCCTGACCCCCAGGGTCAGAAGCCAGGCTCTGTTTCCTGAAGTCTAGGGAGCCGAGACAGACTGCTGAAGGAACAGAAAAGGCAGCCTGTCAGCTTTTGCTGCCCTCTGGGAGGTTGCCTGCCCTTTATCTATGTTAGAAGAAGGTTCTTTACATTCTTTTGAAAGAATCCCACGTTTGCAAACACTGCATCCCTCCCACCTTCCTCTCCCTCCCCATCTTAGGGTGGAGATCTTGGGCTTGAATCTATTTCTCCCCAATAGCAGGCCAGCTACCCGGTCTTCGACATTGAAGAGGCGGGAATAACTTGTTTGTCGAAGTAACGAGAGACACAATTCTAGAAGCCCTAACTGGTCTCACTGAGCCTCGTGACATCCACGAAAAACCTGGGCTGCTCCTGGTTGCAGGACGGAGGGTCGAGTTATCCAAAGCCGCTATGCCCGTGAGCCCCCCGCTCTGCCTGACTCGGCCCCGACACTTGCTGCTGCAGTGGAGGAAGCCCTTGATCAGGAACCAGGAGCCCTGGGATCTGTTCCTAGGCTGGCTGCTAGGTTCAGTGATAAGAGCACATGAGTTTCAGAGTGAGAAGATTCTAGGTTTGAGTCCTGGCCCATCTGTATCATGGGCATAAATAGTAACGATGTTTCTGGAAAGATGGTCTGGCCAGTTACTCCAGTCCTTGTGTCTAAGTTTAGCCCTTTGCCCACTGTTCCAGCAGGTCTCCCCAGCAGCCAGGCCCTAGATTTGTCTTTGTCTGGGCTGGACCACTGGTTACTGCTGCCCGCATGGTGCTATGGGAGAGCCTCCTCCCTGGAGGTGAAAGGGCCTGGGCAGGGT